GCCGAGACGCCCTCACGTGCCCTAACGCTCTCCCCCCGCGTCCCCGCCCCCTGCATGCGGCCTCGTCCCTGTTCCCTCTCACGGCGCGCTCCAGCCAGTGTCCTTCTCAGGCCGCAGGGCGGCGAGGGCCGGCCGGAAGAGCCGAGGCGATTCTGGGGAACGAGCGTAGGGCTGCAACGACGGCGACGGGCCAGTGCCCGCGGTGGACGTGCGGGACGGAGAGCGCAGGGCACAAGTGAGGCGCAGAAAAGGCACGTTTGAAAAGGATGACAACAAGTTCTGCAGCCGCAGAGCGCGGCCCGGCGCGAACAGTGGCCTCCTGGCCTTGCCCCTCGCCGCCGCAGTGCTCCCCGAGCTCAAAGGAGCCCGCGCGCCAGTGCACAGGGGCAGCTAAGAGGCCCGGGAGCCGCGCGAGCGGCAGTTTCGCGGGGTCCCGCTAGATCCCGCCCACCGGTGCCCGCCCCGCCTCAGTCAGCGTAGGCCCCGCCCACAGAGGGCTCGCCCCGCCCAATTCAACGTAGGCTCCGCCTCAGCAGCATAGGCGCCGCCCACAGGGGCCCGCCCCGAGGCTCCAGCTGCTCCAATGGGCCTTTATTTTATTTTTTCATTTGGCTTGATCGATACGATCAATAAACCACGTGAGGAAACCTCTGGGTTACGGCCAGTGTCAAGTGATTTCTGTCGCCTCGCTAATAGCTCCGGAGAGATGAGTTTACCAAGGGAAGGTTAACTCCGATTTACGTCCTACTTCCAGTGTCTGTCTCAAACCTATTGTAGACCCTGATGACAGGCATCGAAATTGAAGAAATACATGACGCAGAAAGACTAGGAGTGAACGGATTTCATGTGTGAGAAGCGATGATTAAGTTCCTGGGTTATAACTGGGCACTTTCTCTTAGGCCCGGGTTTTGCTCTTGAAAGTTGCCAGGTAAAGCATTTTTGGTTATTCTGTGCTGCTCACGATGGGAAAAGCTGAAAGAAGAAAAAGATCTAAAGTGAGGAGTGTCGTTGGAGGTCCTGAAAGTTCTACCTGCAGGTAGGTGTCAGAATATGTGCCTTTAGATGAATAACGAGTTAAATGGCACAGACTTGAACAGCTATATGTGCAGAAGAAACGATTTTTGGTTAGTGGGTTGTTTCTCAAAAACAAATAGTTAAAAAATGTGAGGGGTAGAGCGATGCATGCACCTAGTTAATAACATTTCATTTTAAAAAGAAAACATGCTATCAATTTAATAAACCTAGTATAAATCCATATCAGAACTGTTGGTTTATGACCACAGAGCTCTAAGGAAGCTTCTCCGGAACAAGTCTGTGTCTCCAATTCCCTTGTGTCAGAGTCCCTCATGCAGGAACCCCGTCTACCTTCCTCCTCCCCCTCCCCCCTCCCCTCTGGTAACCACTAGTCTACTGTCCATGTCCATGAGTCTCTGTTTGTCTGTCCTGTTCATTTGTTGCTTTTAGGTTTATATCCCACATGCAAGTGATTTCATGTGGTTTTCAACTTTTTCTGTCTGGCTTATTTTGCTTAGCATGATTTTCTCGAAGTTCATCCACATTGTCACAAATGGCAGTATTTCATCTTTTCTTATGGCTGAGTAATATTCCATTGTCTATATGTACCACAGCTTCTTTGTCCAGCCATCTATCGTAGGACACTTCGGTTGCTTCCACTGGACTTCTTTTTTAATGTACTTTGGGGTTACTGAAGGGTAATAAGCTGGGGACTGACATACTCCCATTTGCTCTTTAGAAGTCATCTGTGGCAGGGATGCTGGGCATGGGGATGAAGGTAGGAGGCCAGGAGAGCAACCAGGATCTAGTTATGGTCTGGGTGCCAGCGGGTGAAGCATCTCTATAGCAGTAACAGGGGGAAGGATCACAAATGTCCAGGAGGTAGACTTGCTTGGGCAGGAGAGAGCCCGAATTGAAGATGAAAGGCTAATGCCCGTGTTTGTAGTTCAGGCCACATGGTGATGAGGATGGGACAAGCAGAGAGCGAGTTTTTGAGGAAACGTGATTTCAGTTTCGGTACATGTTCAGTTCGAGTTGTGTTTATGCCAATAGAGGCGTCCTAGGTGGCGAATGAAAATACAGATCTGACACTCAGAGTGACAGTGTATGTCAGCTTAGGTGTTTATCAGCTCCACTTGAGTTTGAGGGAACGCATAAGGGGCAAGATACAGGAAAAGCTGCCTGGTTCCCACCCAATGACCTTGAAACAATAATATACCCGAGAAACTGGAACCGGCGCCATCTCCTGGCACGTGTGTTCCTCACTGGCCATTGAACTGCTTTTTATTTGGCCACAGAGAGGGCCCTCCCGTAACCAGTATTAGTTATGGAACCGTCACAGAGGACACAGGGTATAGTGCAGTGTCTCGGCTGCTGTGGTACTTACAGGAACATTAAAGGTAGATGTAGCTCCGGCTCTCAAAGGAAGGGACACGAAACAGGCTGTGAATGGGGTATAGAGACAGTGCGTGTGCGTTCCTGAGCATATGTGTGTGAGCACATGCACGTGTGCCTGAGGGCGCCCTCTTCCGAGATGCCCCGCCTTGCACATTCGTAAAGGCACTGCCCATGTCACATAAGACTCCTTTTCTTCAGACCCCCACCCTTCTGAGACACTCTTCTGAGATGGCCCCTAGTAACTCAGCGAGGCTTTCCACGCTCGACTTCTCTGCACAGCGGTTTGCTTCACAAGCGCCTCAGGTTTCTCTGGAGGACCAGAGAGGTCCCTGGGAGACCTAGGGCTGTGGCTGGGCTGCAGCCTCAGCCACAGACCCACAGAGTTCTGCTGCGTCCCTCTGGGGAGCAGACACGCACATCAAAGCAGCGCAGAGCCTTCCTGCGTCTGCCCTCAAGCTCTTCCCACTCGCTTATCTTCAAAGATGCCTGTGACACAGCTGCCCTGCTCTCCTGGTCTCCTCTGGGGCCACTTCAAACCTGGCCGTGCCTGCTGTGCTGCAGGGGTGGCTTCCCGACCCAGAAAGGCCCCCTCCTGGCTCTCTGGACGCCAGCCCGTCCTAAGCATCTCCCCGTCCAGCGTTTCTGGAAGAAACTGGTTCCACCGCTTCTTGAGCTTCGGCCCACATCTCAGACTGTTCTCTGACCTCCTGCTGCTTCTCTTAGGGTGTCGTCTCCCCCTCAGCCGAGGGCGTGCCTACAGCCCCCCTTCTCTGTCCACATCACCAGCCACACCAGGCGCCCAGCCCCCTGCTCCATGCATCTCCTGGAGAGGGGCTCCCCAGGAACTGGACTGGACAGTAACTTTTTCAAGGCCACCCTGGAGGCCTCCCCGACCCTAGACAGTCACCTTTCCACCCTACCTTCTCCTCACTGCATTTCTGTTGACATGTCATCAAACACATTTCTTATTGAATTTGTGCCTATTTATTCAGCACTACAAAGTTGCCTGAAGATTTGGGGTGGAGGAGTGGGGAGCAAATTTAAGTCAGATTACACTGAAATGCAATATCCACGCAAAGAGCGCTGACCACAGTGCTTGGCACATAGCGAGCGCACGGGAAGTTCAGTTGCCATCCCGTGGACACTGATGTAACGTGAGGTCCTATTCTGTTCTGCGGACCCAAGGAAACACCCAGAAGTCACCGCCACAAGGCCCAGAGCACCCAGAAAGCTTGGTCAGACGAAGGAAGGCCTCTCGCTTGGCCCTGGAAGAGTGCTGATAAATGCCACATGCCAGCCAGTCCCCACCAGCTGGGAAGAAACACCACCAATGCCACAGCTCACGCCTGGAATACGTCACGGAAACCCAAAGGTGAGAAATCTGTGGAGTCTCTGAAACGGAAAGCTTCGTAGGTTGTCCTAAGGCAATCTATGAAAGTTCTGAAAAAAAGGTTTTAAAAATATTTTAATACGTTTTATATCCAAGTATTGAAGAAAAATCAGAGAGAGCACAAAATAGAATTCCAAATCCATGCATATAGGGTGAAATACAAGCCCTTTCTTTTTTCCTTCCAAATCCCTTTGTCCAGGGGAGGGGATAAGACAGGACAGAAATAACTGAACCCGAGGTGGAGAGAAGTATCCCATAAGAGCATTAGCCACCCAGGATTAGGATGTTTCGGAGCGGGGAGGGCACATTCAGTGGGTGACAGGCAGCAGAGAGCTTGCCGGAAGGCCAGGCCTTGAGACATGGCTGCAGCGTGCTCAAGAGTTGAATTTGCTTTCTTGTCCCAAGTCTGGGGTTACTGGTTTTAATAGTCAGGAAACAGATGGCCTGGTCCAGAAGGTCTGGCTGGAAGTAAATTAATGAACGGTCCATGCATAGAGGCATGCAGTGGTCACGCAAATGAGGGAGGGCCGATGGCCGGGGAGCCACCCCCATTCTCACACCTAACCGGGCAGAGGGAGGCACCGGTGCTCCCAGAGCCTGGCGGAGTCACTGTGCAGGGAGGGGCGTGGGGAACCGGGCCAAATACTTCAGCTCCCTCTCCCCGCTTCTCCACCAGGGCCTCCCATTGGCCTAACTACCTGGAGCCGGAAGGCCAGAGAGCCAGTGACGGGCCACGGAGTGGGGCAGAGGAGGGTGGGTGGTGGCTCTCGAGGGACCTTACGTGGAGAATAACTCTGCGGCTGGGAGGAAGAAGAAATTTGGAAAATGGGAAATGAGAAGATTTGGGGTTACGGGTAGACTTTGCGTGACCTTGGCTCAAACCCTCTACGCCGATGGTTCTCAAATGGGGTGATTTTCTTTCCCCCAGATGACATCTGCCAACGTCCGCAGACATTTTGGTTGTCGCGACTGGGTGGGGGCGTTCCTCCTGGCTTCTGGTGGTTAGAAGC